CTGTATAAGGCAAGTGAAGAGGCAGAAGAACATTCCAGTCAAAGGGAACAGCGTGTTCATGGCACAGAAGGGTGAAAGATAACGGTGTGTCTGAGGAACTGAAGTAAGTCAGTTTGACTAGAGCGAAAAGGCTTTTGTAGGGATGTGGCCAGAGGTGTAAGCAGAAATCAACTTGTCAAGAAGGGCCTTTGGGCAAGAGAGATACTCAAATTTGTGCCACAGAAACATCTGTGGTTGCCATGTGGAAGATGGATTGAAGGGGAAGAGTTAGGAGCCTGTTGCAAATAGTCCAGGGGAGAAGCGCTTGTTCCAACTTGCGGGGGCAGTAGGATGAAGCAACTCAGAAAGCCTATTGTCCTAGAGCTGGCAGAGTCCCATTTCCTCTATCACCTGTTACCTTCACCCTTGGCAATGGACTTACCTTGGAGCACAGCCCTTCTGTAATTGGAAGCGCGTGCCTTTGGCCTTGATACAAGTGACAGATATTTGCCTGAACACCATTTGTGTGAATTGTGACCCTGCCCCAAACCGTGGGGCAGAGTGGAGGAAGGAGGAAGAGCCTCTTCCTCCTGAACTCTTTCCTCCCCCAGGGCAGGCGGTGTAATGACCCTTTTACTCTCTGCCCTCCTTTTTTTGCTTGGTGAAGCCTTACACACTGCATGTCTGACCACATTGCCTGCAGTGTTGCTGGGAGGGAGGGAAGTGGGTGGTGGGATTTGTTTGCCTGTTTGTGGAAGCAGGATTAATAGATATAGGTACGTCCATGGGTTTATCTGGGAACAGGGAGCCTGCCTGGGTGGAGAGGGGTTTTACTGGGTATGAATTTACCATCCTTTATCGGTCATGGGTGTGATTGTGAGTTTGCGTATGTGTGTGAACAGGTCAGTCTTTGTATGGCTGTGTGTGTCTGAGTTTACGTTAGTGACAAGAGCCTTTATTCTTGCCAGTCAGCCCCTGGAGAATGTCTGTGTTTTGTCATTTCCACCGTATCTGCTGCGTGCTATGTGTGCATTTGTGTGTATATATACAGGCAGCAGCGTAACCAAGTGGTTAGGAGCACAAGCTGCTTAGCTTTAAGCTAGGAAGTGCCTCTTAGGAGTCATATCACCTCAGGTAAGTTTTTTAACCTTTCTGGGTCTGTCTCCTTTAAAACGTAAATCGGGTGTTTCATATTTAAGGACTTAACATAGTATATAGACCAGCCCTGTCCAACAGAACTATAATGCAAGCCACATATGTAATTTTTAATTTTCTGGTAGCTACATAAAAAAGGTAAAAGTAGCAGGGTGAAATTAATTTTAGTGTATTGAACCCAGTATGTCCAAAAGGTTATAATTTCACAATGTGATCAATATAAAAGATTATTAATGGGATAGTTTACATTCTGTTTTTCCTTCAAAGTCTTTGAAATCTGCTGTGTATTTTATATCTCTAAGCACCCCTCAATGCAGACTAGGCCACATTTCACGTGCTCAGTTGCCATATGTGGCTGGTGGCTACCATATTGGACAGCAGAGGGATAGACCGTTATAAGATCCTTACCAGCTACAAGCGTTAGCTCTTATTAATGTCCTGTTGTTGTCTTGTGTCTGTGAGTTGTGGATGTCCATATCTTGTGTCTCATGTCTGAATGTATCTGGATCCTTCAGGGAGAGGGGTGGGAGAGCAGTCCTGAGCTCCCATCCCCACCGCCCCCATCCTAGAGAGGCTTTCTGGACAGGTTTTAACGGGAGCCCTGGCCCCCAGAGCCCCCCCAGACCCTGCCTTCTGCACCTTGCCCACCCCGTCCCCAATCCAGGAACCAGGCCCACTGGTTCTGTCCTTCGCCCCGTCCCCTGCAGGTGACCAGAATGGAGCTGTGGCCAGGGGTGTGGCCTCTACTGCTGCTGCTCTCCCTGCTGCTGCCCACTCTGTGGTTCTGCAGCCCCAGTGCCAAGTACTTCTTCAAGATGGCCTTCTACAATGGCTGGATCCTCTTCCTGGCTGTGCTCGCCATCCCTGTGTGTGCCGTGCGAGGACGCAACGTCGAGAACATGAAGTGAGGGGCAAGGGGTTTTGGGTGATGAGGGAACCTTAGGGTCAGAAGCAAGCAGGGGCTGGGGAGGGCACTGAGTGTGTAGGAGACACTGAGCGAGCCCAGGGACAAGGAAGCGGAGAAGACTGCAAAGATGCCCAGGAAGACAGGGGCCGGGGAGGGGGGCTGGGGCCTGCAGGTTGACGTCAGCAGGTCCCGCGGGAACCCCTTGCCTTGTGGAACCTCCACAGGATCTTGCGTCTGATGCTGCTCCACATCAAATACCTGTACGGGATCCGAGTGGAGGTACGAGGGGCTCACCACTTCCCTCCTTCACAGCCCTACGTTGTTGTCTCCAACCACCAGAGCTCCCTCGACCTGCTTGGTGAGCAGCCTCCCCTAGCCACGCCCATCCTCCTGCAGCCCTCCCTGGGATCCCCTCCCCATAGAGGTCCTCAACCCTCCCTCGTCTGGGGCGTTGCCCCCTTGCTCCCCCTGCAGGCCTCTGCCTGGGGTAGAGCTGCCCTCATAAGCAAGATAATACACCTTTAGTCACCTTTTCTTACTTTCTGGGGCTTCCCCCACCCCTCACCCCCAGGTCTGCCTCTTCCTTTAGCTCTAGTCCCTGGGTGATGACCTGGGTGAGGTATCCTCACCCCACCCCCACCTCTGCCCTAGGGATGATGGAGGTACTGCCAGGCCGCTGTGTGCCCATTGCCAAGCGCGAGCTACTGTGGGCCGGCTCTGCCGGGCTGGCCTGCTGGCTGGCGGGAGTCATCTTCATTGACCGGAAGCGCACTGGGGATGCCATCAGTGTCATGTCTGAGGTCGCCCAGACCCTGCTCACACAGGATGTGAGTCACCCTGGGGAAATGGGGGTTATGGAGTAGAATAGTTGTAAATAAACTGATATGCAGGGCCACCAGGCCTCACAAGTCCCATTACAGCATCACAGCCATTTTCTGATCCCTCCATATGTGTGTCTTCCTTGACTCTCTTTCTTTCCCAGGTACGGGTCTGGGTTTTTCCTGAGGGCACGAGAAACCACAATGGCTCCATGCTGCCCTTCAAACGTGGCGCCTTCCACCTCGCAGTGCAGGCCCAGGTGATTACTCCTTCCCGTCTACTACTGCCCCTCAAGCCCCCACCATCCCTTCCTCTCTTGGCAGAGGCTGGTCCTGGGGACCTCAGAAGGGAGCCGTGGGCTGATCGCTTTTCCTCTCCCTCAGGTTCCCATTGTTCCCATAGTCATGTCCTCCTATCAAGACTTCTACTGCAAGAAGGAGCGCCGCTTCACTTCAGGTGAGGGCTCTGTGCAGATCTGGGGTTCGGGGGTGGCCAGAAGGGCCATGGGAGAGGCTAGAGGGACATCCCCGTGGGGCAGGAGCTTCAGTCAGCGTCAGCACTGAGATGTCCACAGGATTATCTAATGTGACCCCACATCAGCCAATAATTATTTATTAAGCACCCCCTATACCCTGCTAGATGGGTAACACTTGGACCCTCCAAGAGAGGCCATTACTGTCTAGCCGGAAAGATAAAGCCTGTGTGCACAGTTACAGCATTCGGCGGCGAACACTAAACCCAGACAGTGGGGCCGGCAGGGTGCTGAGGTGCCTGGACTGGGGCTGGGGAAGGCTTTGCGAGGGAGGGCCTCAGAGAACAGGTGGCAGCTGGTAAGCTGAGGGGGAGTTGTCCACGGCAGAGAACTGAAAGGTTGAGCAGGGGACTAAGTATCAGGAGAGCTCGGAAGCCAGGCGCCACCTGTGGGCAGAGTCCCGGTACACAGGCCATGATGGTGCTCACCCCCCTCCCAGGGCGATGTCAGGTACGGGTGCTGCCCCCAGTGCCCACAGAAGGGCTGACACCAGATGACGTCCCAGCTCTGGCCGACACAGTCCGACACTCCATGCTCACCGTTTTCCGGGAAATCTCCACTGATGGCAGGGGTGGTGGTGACTATCTGAAGAAGCCTGGAGGGGTGGGCGAGGCCCAGCTCTGAGCTCCCTTCCCATCTACCCCCACCCCCCACCTCCGTCTCCACACCTACCAGCCCAGTGGGCCCGAAGCTGGGCCAAGCCCTGTTCCTCATTTCCCCTCTCCCCACCTGTTCTCTTCTTTGGAATCTTCAACTTCTGAAGTGAATGTGGTTACAGAACCGCTCCCTGCCCCCTTCCCAGCACCGCCCCCCAACAGACTCTTGCCTAGGTGCGGCCTCCACTCTGAACCCCACCTTCCGTGCCATCCTGTCTGTGGGACAGTCGCCTCCCCCTCATCTTCAGTGGTTCAGCCTACACAAGGGTAGGAACACTCCATTCTGTCCCCAGTGGACCCTCTTCCTTTGTGGTCTTCTCTACCTCTCCACCCCACATTGGCCAGTGGATTCATCCATTCTGTGGAACAATTTCTCACTCCCATGTCCACGGATTCAGTGGACTCATCCATTTGTGAGGACGACTCCTCACGCTGTGGCTGGAAGCTGATGCCTGGAATACTTCTCCCAGGCTCATCCTGGAAACATTCCTCAGCACCTTCTCCCTCCTTCCCGTGGAGCCTCCTGTCAGTGGGGGCTGGACTCTGTCACTCAGAGGTCTCATCCCTGCCCTTGTCCAAGTGCCCAGGGTTGAGCACACTCTTGGACACCACATTTCTGCTTCCCCTCATGCCCTGGCTATAGTTGTTCAGTGGTCCTGGCCCCACCAAGCCCCCTGCAGCCCTGCTGCGCCATTCTAACCAGACACAAGGGGAAGAGGCGGACATCAGGTGCCGCGCGCACTTCACCCTGGGGAGCTGGGGAAAGGAACTGAGCCCTGGCTGGAGGGGATGGGAGGGCTTTGCATTTATTTCTCTTTCTTCTGAGGCTTCCCCTCTCTGAGCCAGTTTTCATTTCCTCCCTGCGGCATTAGCCACTCCCTGCCTCCCACCCCAGACCTGTGCTCACAACCACAGAGGTGGGCTGGGAGCAAAAGGAGAGGGTGGGACCCAGTTTTGCGTGGTTGATTTTTATTAATTATCTGGATAACAGCAAGAAACCGAGAATAAAGATTGAGAGAGATCTGGGCACTTTCTGGCTGCGTTTGTTAAGGAGTTAAAAAAGCAGTTCTCCTCCAGGCCTCTGCCCCAGCCGGAGACTCAGGGGCAGGCCAAGACAACCCGCCTTCCTCCTTTCTTCAGCTTTCCAAAGTTTCCATTGTTCATTGCTCCTTAGTGGCAGATAGCCTTATCTGCAGCTCCCCAGCCGGCCAATCCCAGAGGATTAGTGGGTCCAGTTTCTGTATAAATTAGTGGGGCAGGGGCTCTGCGGGGGCTCCTTAGCTCCGCCGATTGAGGCCTGGGCCCAGGCTGTTGTCCTCGCAGGAGCCTGGTTAATGACAAGGAGACAGGCAGACACATTGACTGTGGACTTCTTGGACGCCTGGAGTGGGCCCTGGACACTGAAGGATTGACAGTCTCGCTCACCAATAAGTGGAACCACCAAGTTGGAGACAGACCAGGAGAAGGGGTGGTAAAGTGCGGGAATCTGGGGAAGGTATGGGGTGAGTGAGTGGAGGAGAAGAGATTTTGGACAAGAGAAAACTGAGTTGGGAAAAGGTGTCTGGAAGAGCTGGGGGCAGCTGTTGGGAGATGCGGGTCCCCGCAGAGAGGGGCATGGGGACTCACAGGCACCTAGCCTCTCCTCCAGCAGCAGAACCTGGTCACTGAGAGACTCAATCCTGTCGCCTCGGCCCCACAGCTCTGCCACCTGTTCGGGCTGCAGCTCTTCTGGGGGCATGGGCAGCACCGCTCGGACCCAGGCTCCAGCCTGACTCGCCCACTACAAAGGAAGAGACACCTCAGGGTGTTGGGGGTGGGGTCTGCCACCCAGACTTGGCCCCAGGCATCTCCACTCACCTGCTCCAGCCGCTCCAGGCGCCCTCGAAGCTCCCGAATCTCCCGCCTCAGGGCACGCTCATCGTGTCCAGCCTCCCGAACTGGGACAAAGGAGCGAGCCGAGCGTGACCACTGCCCTGGCCCCGCCTCTGGTCCGGCCCTCCGCGTGCCCCACGCACCCACCCACTCACCGGCCACGCTGAGCATGCTGGCACTGGTTGGGGGCTCTGGGGCCCCTTCTCCGCAAGTGCGCCCGTCCGGGCCCAGCACCAGGCCCTGGGGGCAGCCACAGGTGAAGCTGCCTGCTGTATTGAGGCATCCGTGCGAGCAAAGAGTGACGCCAGCCCTGCATTCATCCACGTCTAGTTACCGGAAAGAGGAGGGGGCTGAGGGGGGCGGGGCGGAGGGGGCACCACAGCGGGTAGGGAGGTTCTGGCGCCACCCCGAGGGAGGGCGAGGCAACTCACCCACGTGACAGTGCTTCCCACCCCAGCCCGGGGCGCACTCGCACTGGTCTGGCCGGACGCAGACGCCTCCGTTCTGGCAGGGCTTGGCGCAGATGGCTGCGGGCGCAGGAAGCGGGGTTCAGAACCGAGCGGAAGGCCTGGCTCTCCAGCCCGGCCGGGCGCACCTCCCCCGAGGCCTGGGAAGACCCAGCCTCACCTTCATCACAGGTGAGCGCCCCGGGATGCCGCTTTTTCCAGCCCTGGCAGCACACGGCGTGGGTCTGCGGCACCTCCCTCCTTACCTCCCGCCAAGCCACATGGTACGTGGTCCTGGAACACAGCGCCGGGCTCTGGACATTGGCATATGGGTCCTGGTCCCGGTTCTGGGGGTTCGTTCCTCTTGAGAGACCCCAGAGCCCAGGCTCCCCACCCCTCACCTGTAGGTGCTGCAGACACGCCTTCCAGAGCACAGAGTCAAGTAGGGCTTATATACGGGTTGGCTGTAGGACTCGTTGTAACGGAGTGGGACCACCAGCGTCTGCTTGGAGCAGACCCCCTGACTGCACCCATGCGGGGGAAAGTGAGAGGCATTGAGTGGGCCAGGCCCTGGGGAGCCAGGAGCCCCACTTCCCTTCAGGCTCCACTGAGGCCCCACCCTCCCTAAAAATGACAGCCTCCCCCCCATTCTGAACTTTGTTTTGCCACCTGTGAAACCCCAGCCCCAGCAGGTTTCATGAAGACCTCACCCCTGGCCCTGCCCCCTCTGTTATCACCTCTCTTTGAGGGATTCACCCTTGGCCCCCTCGCCTGTCATCAGTAGCAGGAGGAATGAGAGTCCGCCTAAGACAGTGCACAGCTCAGCCCTGGACCCCATGTTTCTCCTTGACTTCAGACTCTGCCAGCTGCAGGCAAGAAGAGGTTAATGGAGGCCCTTCCTCTCTCCTGTTAACTTCTCCAGTTCCAACCCTTCCAAGAGCAGTCTGCTGGTGCCCTTTAAGTGGGGCAGGACATTCATTTGCACGCTTGCACTAGCCACCAGGATTGTCTACACCCGCAGGTACATTTAACTAACACTCCCCTTCCTTTAGCACATCATGGTCCATGCAGCACCATACAAGCTCACAGCCCGACACACTCCCTCCACCTCCCCTCGTGACCCTCCTGTCTCTGACGTGCCCTCTTCCATCCTAATCCTCCTACCTTCAGAATATCAGATCTGCACCATTACACCCCTTTACACCTTGTACACACCCACACACCTGGAGACCCCACCTTAAACACATTCCTGCTACCCTCGCGCACCCACACCACCACATACACCCTGGACCCACTCCCCTCACTCAGACAACACACCCAACTCACACCCAACTCTAAGACTCTGAGTGACCCCCAGTCTTTCCCCATTGACGTTCTCTCCCCACCTGTCTTTCCCCCTCTCCTGGAGACTTCAGGCCACCAGCCTCAGAAGCAGCAGCTCAGACTGGTGGGCGGGCTGCGCGGGCTGCAAAGGAGAGGAGGGGCGGGCCAGACAGAGCCCTCCCATTCCTGCCCCCTCCCACAAGCCTCCTCCACAGCTGGAGCTTGGTCAGTTCAGTGGGGTCCAGATCCCACTCCCTTCACCCCCCCAGCCAAGCAAAGGGCCCCTCAGAAGTCTCTTCTCAACCCTATGAGGCCCCTTATTTTTGGAACTCCCCCAAATCAGCAGAGACTACTAGCTTTAAACACCAGCAGCACCCCTGGCCCTTGCCCTCCATCCTTCAACCCAACACAGACTAGGGAACAACTGAGGGGCAGGAAAAGTCAGAGCTGGCAGACAACAAAGTGGGGTCAAGTCATGGGGGAAAAGGCAAGAGCAGATGAGAAAAGAAAGAAGGGTGCGGTGGGGACTGCCCAGGGCGGTAAAGGGAAAATTGCCCCCATTTCTTGATGACATTTGTTAGGGCCTGGTGGGGGGTATGCAAAGTTGAGTCAGCCACCGACCCCCATGCCAGAGCAGACAGGGCCTTATTGTGTCCACCAAGATTCCTTCTTTCAGGAAGAGGAGGCTCATTGTCCAGCCCCTCACCCAGCTCTGGCCTACAAAGGTCAAAAAGGGGCACAACAAATGCCTACCCTGACCCTTAGCCCCCTCGTCTAGCCTGGGGGCTGGCTGGCGCATTCCACCCATGAGGCTGGGGCCCAAACCACTAGAGCCCTGGGCTCAGCCCCCCAATCACAGGCTGGGACAGGAAGAGAATTGTCCTCAGCAGGAAAGAACCCGCAGAGAATCAGGAACCCACACAGAATGGGCATTGAGAGAGCGGAAACACCAAGGGGGTCCCACCCCAGACCAGGCATCCGGGCACCCGGGCCTCAGGCTGTCCATCCCCACCCTCCTTGGGGAGCCAGGTCTCCCTCACCTGGAAATGAGTCAAGCCAAACTGAGTAAATGGAACTTTATTTCCATAAATATAGGGGTAACACCCATTCAAGGGTAGCTAAAAGAGGGGCTGGAGCCTCAAAGAAACTGGGCTCCCCAAGGGCACCCCAATACTGAACATAGGGACTGGGGGATCCCCAAACCTGAGATGGGCCTCACGGGCCACAGATATTCCCCAACACTGACACTTCAAGAACGGAAATGTCCCCATAGGGGAGCCTCAGAACCCCACTCTCATGGGTGGTCCTTCCTGGGGGTTGGGAGGGCTCACAACAGGGGAGTTCAGACGAACAGGGAACATGGGGAAAACAAGCTAAAAATGTCCTGAGTGGCCTGGAAGGAGACCCCTGTGGTGGGCAGGAGCTGGATTCTGCACCTCCAGCCAGAGTCGAGGAGCAGCCACGAGTAAACCTGGCTTCTCACTTCCCAAGCTTGGCCTTAAGAGGATGGGGGAGCCCCAAACGAGAGGACACGAGATGGCGGAAACCAGGATTTGCCTTTCACAGAAGAGCGGAGGAAGGGGCCCTGGGAGCCCTGGTTGGTGGGAGAGCGATGAGGTGGTCACGGGCACACCAGGGCCCCTGACATCCAAGGCTACCACTTGGTCTCTGGACTGGGGAGTTCCTGAGGGATCGCTCAGGAGAGCCAAGGTTCAATGCAGGTCTCATAAAGGGTACGGTTGGAGTGCCAGGCCGTGTGGGAGATCCCAGCCATTGGACACCTCACTATGGCCCCCCGAGCCAGGAGAGTCTTCAACCCAAAAGAATCCCGCAGATAAACCTTCAAGGTGGGCAAAGGGGCATGGAAGAAAGACATAGGGAGGACAAAGTAAGTTCCTGCTGGTGTCCCAGACCCCCTCCCCACAGGGTGAACCTTTCAACTCCTGTTTCAGTGGCAGAGAGAGCCACGGACAGCTGGGACAGTGCGCGCAGAAAGGGAAGGTAATTCCAACGAACTCACCAGTTGCTCCTCCATCTCCAAGACCGTCTCATTTGCATCATAGAAACCAAAGAAGCTACAAAAAGATTGGGGGGTAAGGGGGAGGTTATCAGGAGAGCTGGAGAAAATCAAGGTGGGCTAGGGTCCTTCAGGAACTCATGGCCTGTTGAGGACACAAGCAGCAAGGAGGACACTCAAAATACCAATATTTAACTGGGTATCATGTACCTCATGAGGTGATGCACTGAGGGTACAGCATCACTTCTGCAGAATTCCCATCAAAAATGCACAATCTGAATCTAATCTTGAGGAAATAGCCAACAAACCCAAACGAGGGACATTCTATTAAACAGCTGGCTCATACGCTTCAAAAATATCAACGTCGTGTACAAAGACCAAGGAAGTATTCCAGATTAAAAGGGACTAAAGAGACATGACACCTAAATGCAACACAGGATCCTGGGTTGGATCTTGCACTGGATTTTTTTCTATAAGGACAATTGGGAAAATTTGAATAAGGTCTACAGAGCACTGTATCAATGTTAATTTCCTGATTTTGATCATTATTGTGGATATGTAAAAGAATGTCCTGTACATAGAAAATAGACACTGACATACTGAAGTTTTCAAGGGTGAAGAGATATCATGCAACCTGCTCTCAAATGGTTCACACACATACTCCGTACATATATATATATATGGAGAGAGAGAGAGAGAGAGAGAGGGAGGGAGAGAGAGAGGATGCTAAGGTAAACTCGGTAAGATGTTAACATTTGGGAAATCTAGGTGAAGAGTATACAAGATTGCTTTGTACTACTTTGGTAATTTCTTGAGTATGAAATTATTTCAAAATTAAAAGTTCTTAAATTTTTTTTAGTTAAGAATATTTAACTGGCATGGGCACTGAGTGGACACAGGCCATAAATAACTGAACAAATGCCAGTATGGGCTATGGGAGCAAAGAGGAGAGGCTACTACCCTAGTTTTAGAGCATCAACAAAGGCTTCCCAGCGATTACCCTGGACTAAGGAAGGCTGTCCCAGGCAAATGCAACAGCAAGAGCAGCACAGAGGTAAGGCACAGCTGGGTGCGGGGGCTGCTGGGTTGGAGGCCTGGAGGCCTTGTTGAAGGGCTGGATTTCACACGGTAGGAAAGCAGCAGGGGCACAAAGACCTGGATTTTAAACTCCAGCTCTGCCACACACTCCCCACTGTGTGTGGTTGATCATGTTGCTTATCTTCTTTGCCCTGTATAAGAATACCTCCTTTGTAGAGAGGAAGCAAAACATTGTGGTTGGGCTTCCCTGGTGGCGCAGTGGTTGGGAGTCCGCCTGCCGATGCAGGGGACTTGGGTTCGTGCCCCGGTCCGGGAAGATCCCACATGCCACGGAGCGGCTGGGCCCGTGAGCCATGGCCGCTGAGCCTGCACGTCCGGAGCCTGTGCTCCGCAACGGGAGAGGCCACAGCAGTGAAAGGCCCGCATACCAGAAAAAAAAAAAAAAGAAAGAAAAAAACATTGTCGTTAAGTCAGACAGCCTGACTTCACCACTTAACTAACTCTATGAATGTAGGCAGGTTATTTAATCTCTTTGTACTTAAGTTTCCTTATATGTCAAAAGAGGATAGTAGTAATTACCCTATAGGGTTGTTGTGAGAATTAAATGAGCTTTATTTGAAAAGTACTTAGAATAATGCTTTGGGACATAAAAGGTGCTATATAACCTTGAGCCATTCTTATCTTCACAGGATTGTTTGAAATGAGATAAAAAATAAATCCCACCTCTAACTATTATAAGGCATGTCACTCATTCACTTAAAACCTTGCAACGTGTTCCGTCTCACTCAGAATTTTCAAAAGCGAGGGCCGTGGTTGCCAGGGGCCAGGGAGTGGCAGGGATGAGGGAGTTACCATTCTGTAAAGGGTATGGGGTTGCAATTAGGGAAGGAAAAAAAGGTTCTGGAGATAAATAGTGGTGATGCTTACACAAGAATGTGAATGGACTTGATGCCACCGAACTATACACTTAAAAATGGTAAAATTTTATGTTGTGTATATTTCAGGAAAAAAAGGGGGGGTGCTTACTGTGCCCCACAAAGGCTCTCTGTAACTGGCTCCCTGCTACCTCTTTCACCTCCTCTTCCACCCTCTCCGTAGCTCCCTGCACTCTAGCCACATGGGCCTCCTTATTCCTCAGACCTGCCCCAGGGCCTTTGCAGGTGCTACTCCTGTCCCCTGGGTTGTTCTTCCCCCAGTTTGATGCACAACTCTTTCCCTCACTTCCTTCAGTCTCTGCTCAAATGGCAACTCTTCCAGAAGGACTTCTCTGGCCACCAGCTAATATAGGCCGTGGCCATCCTCTAATCCCTTCCCCTGCCTTATTTTATCACCACTTGGCCTATAGATTTACATTTATTATCTGTCTCCCCCACAAGAATGTAAGCTACATAACACCATGGACTTCTCTTTCATTTACTACTGCATCCCCAGGACCCAGAACAGTGCCTAGGCACACAGAGTATTTGTTGAGTGACTAAAGTAGATCAGGTGACATTTCAGATCACTCATGATGATCAAAGGCAGGCACATAGTGCCATGAAGCCATGGATTTTCCTGAGGAATAGGATAGAGGGGATGAGCTGGAGGCTATTACAGTAGTCCAGGTAAGTAAAAGAGGTGGTAGGAAATGTGATTACATGGCATATGGAACTATACACACGTACCAATGTCATATCCCTGGTTTTGATATTCTGCTATAGTTACATAGGATGCAACCATTGAGGGGAACTTGGTGATGGATACACAGGACCTCTCTAAACTATCTTTGCAGCTTCCTACAAATCTGTAAATATTTCAAAGTTAAAAGTTTTTACAAAGGGGGGTTGGTAGGGATGGAGAGCAAGCAGACTCTACCTAGTAGAGTCAGCAGGGCTTAGTGACTGGCTACGTATAAGAGGCTAGGAGATGACTCCCAGGTTTTGGTCTTGGGTGACAAGATGAGTGGAGGGTAGGGGTATTACCCAGTGGAAGCAGCAGGCCAGTTTTAGAAATGAGATAAAGATTGGTGGGGGCTGGAGTGTCCTTAGCCAATCTTCAGGCCACACAGTCCCTTATTACCTGGACTGCCAGGGGGTAATGACACCATCATCAGGGCCCCCAATCAGCACCAGGCGGCCCACACGAAGAAAGTTCTTCCGCCAAGCTGCAGAGTGAGAAGAAGAGAGCCTGAGCCAGTCCCAGGGGTCAGGCCAGGTTGGAGAGGGGAACACAGGGGGTCAGAGGAGCAGAAAATGGGACCAGGGTAGGAGCCTGGGGTCTTACCAGTGGCATTGGGATGGTCTCTTTCCCCATTGATCAGGGCCAGGAAGCTGCTGGCATTGAGGTACAAGTCATCATGGTGGGGGTCTGGGTACAAACAGCAGTTAGAAAGGTTATCAGAGAAGCAGGGAGAAGAGGCAAGACCAGAGGCTGGAAGACCAATCTGGAGGCTAAAGTAATAGACAAGGTGAATAGTAATATAATAGTAGCCATGATAATTGTAAACATAATAGCAAACACCTTTTTCTAACACCTACTATGAGCCAGATACTGTTCAAAGTACATTACATTCATTAATTTATTTAATCCTCATAACCACCCTGTAAGGTATGTACTATATCATTATACAGATGAGGAAAATTGAGTCACAGGAAGGTTGAGTAACTTGCCCAAAGTCATGCCGCAGGGCCAGGCTTCAAACCCAAGCAGTCTGGACCCAGCAGCATCCATGGTCTTAAAAACTATACCAGGCGTTTGCAAACTATGACTCATTAGCCAAATCCAGTTCACTGCTTGTTTCTGTAAATAAATTTTATTGCCAACACAGACACACTCATTCATTTACATAAGATATATGGCTGCTTTCACATGACTGTGGCAGAACTGAGTGGTTGTGACAGAGACTGTACGGCCTGCAAAACTCAAAATATTTACTATCTTGCCCTTTAAGGATACAGTCGGCCAACCCCTGCAGCAGGCTATACTCTCTAAGGCAAATAAGGTGATACACATAAAGCATTTTGAACAGTGCCTGTTCACATAGTAAGTGCTCAGTAACTGTTAAGTCATCATTGCTGTTGGTTATGGTAGAGGTGGGAGCAGCAGGCCCTATCTTCCAGGATGCCCTTTCCATGGAGGCCCCAGTTTGGCATGTCCTACTCACCATGCCAGTAGTTACAGATGGAGAATTCCTGGCCCCAGGGGCTATAGCAGATGCGGTAGAGGTTGGACCTCATGGAGGTGGGGAACAGCCACTTCAAATAGTCCGTGTCTGGCAAGAGAACAGCAGTGCCAGGTGGTTCCAAACTTGTACCCTCAAGACTCAGGGTCCCCCCCCCGACATGGAGCCCACAGTGCCCACTCACCTCCATACTGTCCCATCTGTGGAGAGGAGAGAGAGATGAAAGAATCCACATTGTGTTCATCCATCACAGACAGCAGTGCCCGGCATACCAGGCCCCCTGCAGGCAGAACACCACATTGGGCAGGGACTTAGGGACAGCCGGGCCAACACTGCCCCCTGTCCGCACCCCCCACACACACAGTGTACCTAAAGGAAACTGAAGCCCAGAGAAGGCACACACCCTGTGTCAAAACATCCACATCATGTAAGTGACAGAGCCAGAATTCGACACTGGGTGTCCCGACTAACTGTAGGGTGCTTTTTACTGTCCTACTACCTTTTATGTCCAAGAACCATGGGTAATGGGCAAAGAAAGGGGCAGCAGTGCAGGGAGCCTCCCTCCCACTCAGGACACACACAGAGATAAGACCCAGGTGCTGAGGGAAGTCAGAAAAGGAGGGCTCAAGTATCAGGGCTCTGGCTGAAGCAATGTGGCTCAAAAAAGGGAACACTAGGCAGTGTCCCTCAGATAAGGATCAAGCCTCAGATAGGGCTTAGGAGCTGGGGTGGGAGACGGTGCCTACCCTGCGAGTAGCAGATGAGATGCACCCCTTGAGGGGCCTTTGCCATGATGGGGGCCACAGCCTCTCGGAACCCTTGCACCTGTTCCCACAGGGGCCGCAAACTCTCTCTCCCATCGAAGAGATCGAGCACTGTCACCACAGTCCCAGGGTGTGTCTGTGGGAAGGGGGCAATGCCCCAACCGGGGATGGACGATGAAGCCCCTCCACACCGACCCCTGGCCAGCGCCCACATGCCTATTGTGCCCTGCTAGAACTAACGATCTCTCGTCCCCAGACTTTCCCCACGCCAGCACCAGCTCCCCGAGGAAGTTGGCAGGCCCAGCATTCAATTCCCCATTCTCCTTCCCCAGCCTCTGTAGACGCCACCAACGCCCCACAACCGGAGGTCCCCTGCCAGACCTCGTTGATGTATTCCAGCAGGTGGCGGAAGCTGTACGAGCTGTCAAAGAGCCCATGCACCACGATGACCGGCTTGTAGGAAGCCCGATGGGGCGCGGGGGTTGCGGGCAGCAGCAGCAGCAGGAACGGCAACAGGAGCAGGAACCCCGCCGGGGGGAGCCGCAGCCCCGGGAGCCCCAGCATGCTCCCGCCTGAGAAGGGGGCGATGAGGGCCTGTGAGAGAGATGACAACACCCCCTGCCTTCCGAACAGACGCCGGCAATCAAGCCTCCCCTGCCCGTTCCCACACCAGGTCCTTGTCACAAAATATCCTACTTTTACTCTAGTCCTCTCCCCACAAACACCCCCCCCAACCGCATTGTAAACGCACTGACGCTCACCCAAGCCCCGCCCCTAACTCAGCGGGGACTCTGTCCCCAGGCCAGCATCTTCCTAATGCATCATCCCAGCCAGGCAAGACAGGGGTTTTGCAAGAAAGACCCCTGAGCAGCAGCGCAGGACCCCTGGAGAGTGCAAGGTCCCACCTGGCCTGGCTCCGTGAGCCTCGCGCTGCCCGCTGTTTACTTCCCTGCAGCTTGGAACCCACGTGGGGGAGGGGAAGGGTGTAAGGAGAACGCGCGCAGGGGAATGACGGATGGGAGAGGGGAGGCTGCTCAGGGTCGCACTCAGCCGTCACGTCCGGGGCTTTCCCTACCAACCGTGCCAGTGTCCCCCGCAACGCAGGCCCGAGACTGGAGGGGCAATGGAACAATCCATTGCGCCGAAAGAGCGGGGGAGGAAATGGGTGGAGCGATCCACTTAGACCGGCGGGGAAAGGCAGAAGCAGCAAACATGTCCTGGGAATTGAGAGACTGCCTCTTCAGTCCCTGCGGCAGCAGCGACCCAAGGGTCCCATTTCCCGGCCTTGATTCGCCCTACTTCCCAATTCAGGCGTCCGGCTCCGCAAAGGAACACGGAGTTTAGTTCTCTTTCCCCAGGGAGGCGCTGGGAGAACAGACTGGGGAAAGGTAGTCCTTCGCATTTCGTCGTCCGTCTGATGAGGGCTGAAGGTAGCCCAGGCGAACCCTACTCCTAACCCCTTCCCTCCCGCCCGCGCCGGATCTGCGTCTTACAACTCTTCATCCTGAAGTGCTTGTAGTGCCCTTGTTTCCAGAGACACGGAGAGCCCTCGAGGCCCCTCGAGGTAAAAGTGCAGCTTGGCCCAGTTTCTTCTGTCCTACTCTACTCCGGGGCCCATCTGTGACACCACTCCCGCCCCCCAGGGGCGGAGGGACCCTAGGGCAGCGCTGACTCAGGCTCGTTTGCTTTCGGATGAGTCTTTCCACCAGAGCGACTCCACAGCCCCGCCCTGAACTTGGAGCTCCTTGTGGGCGGCTCCTTACTCAGACCTTCCCACTCGGTCTGGACTTCTGAACTCCAGGCGACCCGCACCTCTCCACCTGTGACCCCTACCGATACCCAGGTGCCCGGGTTAGGGCTTTTACTTAGCATTTAAAGACGCTTCCCTTGATTTAAAAAAAAAAATCGCAACTTCTCTGAATTCCTCTCTCTATTCACAAGGTCTTTGCCAGTCTAAGTCTCTCCCAATAAAACCAACTTGCGCCCCGAGCTGTGTAGAGGATGGGGTGGCGGTAGAGGGTTCGGGGCGAACGCGAACGCGAACGCCTTAGAAGCCAAGTGAGCGGTATGGGGCTGTGATCTAAATCTCTGGGGCCTGGGAATCGCCCTGGCAAGCGCCTCTCTTACAACTCTGTAGTTTCTGCCTGGAGTCAGAGGGGAAGGACAGAGCTCCGGAGAGCGACTGCCTCAGACGGGGGCCGGGAAGTACTAGACTAAAGGGGGAGGGTGAGATGGGTAATAATGACTCCCAGTTACGTTTTTGCAAAAAGCCCAACTCTGGTCAATCTTGGCTGACTGCTGATCTTCACCCCCTATCCCCACGTACAAGCTCCCAAGATACAATAAGCAAAATAAAAAGACTGCAGTTACCGCTGTGCCCCCAGGTCGACTCAGGCAATGGCGCTGCGTCTTGGCGGGGGTGGTGGGTGGGTGGGATTTCAGGAATGGATCTGAACACTGAGGGCCCTGGAAACTCTAAGAAGCCCAATAAGTAAAAGGGGGAAGGGGGACCAAGCACGTATTCCCAAACCGAGCTGCCAGCAATAAGCAGTTGATCCATCCCCTCCTCCCAGCGGGCTTCAGCTCCTTCATCCTGGAGAGGAAAGGTATCTATATATCCCCCAAGCTTCCTCTTCGCCCTACACTGCAACCCCCAGCCCCCAACACACCACAGGCCTCCTACCTCTGAACTGCTATAGACCAGAGCCTCTCACTTTACCTCCCAATTCATCCCAGGCCAGGGTGGCAGGTCAAGGTCATAACCCTGGGAACTTTTCAGGCCATGGCCGGCCTCAACTCTACACACGGTTTTTTCTCTCTCTATTTTGTTTTGTTTTGTTGTTTGTTTGTTTTTGGTTTTGTTTTTACGGTTCTCTCTCATACAGTCATCTCTCCTACAGAGGGGAAAACTAAGAGCCAAGGATTTGGGAGAAAATCCTGAGATCTTACAGGGACTCTGAGGGAAGCTGAGGAGGGGGAGGCCTGACTGGGTTGAACAAGATCCAGAGGGAACTGGGGTATTGAATCCACTGAGTGCCTGTTCGCTGCCTCCCACAATATAATCACTATGGCCAGTCTTGGAGGGGAAGACTCTAGAGAGTTCTTTCTCCCTCCTTCCTTCCCTTAATACCACCCGCCTTGCTTGGTCTTGCTTGCCTCCCAGTTTCCATGACAACTCCAAAGGAGCCCAAACTGGGGGCTTGAATGCCGGGGTGAGAGGAGGCGAGACGTAGTCCAAAAGCGGAGACCGAGTGGGGATGCGTCTGGAGGATTCCCCCTCCCTTGCCTCGGTCCCTTTAAGCTCCCCCCCTCCCTGCTTTCCCTCCACCCCCCGCCACCACAGTCTTCATCTCTCCATCTCTGCGCTGCTGCCGGCTGCGCAATCTGCGCACCCAGACTCCGGTGCTAGCCAGGGATCCTGACTCCAGACTCCGGTTGCACGGATCCTGTCCCAGCGAGACAGCAGGCATGTCATCCGAAAAGTCAGGTAGAAAACAACAACAAAACCTCCAGCCCTCTCCAGTGTCTCCTGACTCTTCCCCCCCCACCCCCTCCCTTACCCCTCCCTAGCGGTTGGTTCTGTTTCATTCCCCTTGTATCCAGCTCTCCACACCCCGACCCCCAAACCCCCTCCTCTTTTTATATCCCTCCCTTCTCTTCCTTTCCTCCTGCCAGTCTCAGCCTCAGTCCCTTGCCAAAAACATGGGTTAGGGGGGCAGGTTGAGAGGGCGAGGGAAGTACAAGAGTGACTTAGCATCAGCCAGGTACTGCATGGATCGCATCATTGCAAGTGACAGACGGACAGATGACACTGGCTCGCATGGAGACATCCAATGGGGAAATATGGAGAGATGATCAGATGGGGGTTGCCAGGGGAGTAAAATCCAGAGGACCCTTCTTTAATCTGTCCTAAAAGTGGTACTGAGACTCCCAAAGAGACTAGGGCACCCCCTCCCCACTGAAGGAATGGCAGAGAGGAACATGTTATCCTACCTGTGTTTATACAACTGTTGAACTGAGCACATGTTAACACAGTGTTGCATGTCTACACACGTGCACACACAGGACCAGCTCGCATAGGCTAGCCCAAAGGCAGCCATAAGCCAAGGAGCATATGAATTTGGGTCTGCAGGTTAAAGCTGTGTGCCCATTGCTGAAGAAGGGAGAGGAGCAGAAGAGAGTTATGACCTCAAAACTAGATTGAAAAGCGGGGGCGGGGGGGGGGGAGCTGATGGCCTAGATACAACCTCTCTGCTGCCCCAAGAATGAGATGGCTTCTCACCCATCTCCTCTCTGTCTCTCCCATTATCTTCCTCCATCCCTGACCCTCTGTGTCTCCCCCTGCCCCTCCTTATCTCATCTGTCTTATCTCTCCCCACACCCCTGCTCACCGCCCCCAGGCCTCCCCGACTCAGTCCCTCACACCTCTCCACCACCCTACAATGCCCCCCAGCCCCCGGCCGAACCTCCCGCCCCGCCCCCACAGACAGCCCCTTCCTCGCACCATCACCACCACCACCACTACCACCAGTCTGGCACTGCCACCCTCCCGCGCTTAGGGGCTGGGGGCCTGGCTTCCGGGGCCGCCGCTCTGCGCGGTCCCTCGTCCTCCGCCACCTTGCCGAGGCCTCCGCATCACGTCCCGCCCGGCCCGGCCGCTGGGGTACCCCCACCCGGCTGCGCTACCTTGCCCCGCATGCCACCCGACCCTTACCTGCAGGAGACTCGCTTCGAGGGCCCACTACCCCCGCCGCCGCCCGCCGCCGCCGCCCCGCCCCCGCCGGCGCCCGCTCACACTGCCCAGGCCCCGGGGTTCGTGGTGCCCACGCACACTGGAGCGGTAGGCACGCTGTCACTGGGGGGCTACGTAGCCCCTGGTTACCCCTTACAGCTGCAGCCTTGCACTGCCTACGTGCCAGTCTACCCGGTGGGCGCGGTGAGTACGGGACGGACAGGGGCCTGGGGGAAGGGGGGGATAGAACAGGACCTGGAATTGGGGACACACTGAGGGGCTGGTGGGATAGAGAAACAGGGCCAGGGGACCAGGCGGCGTTCTGGGGCCAAGGGAGAGGAGAGACTAAGGAAAAGCCTGGGAATGGGGCGAGGCGGGGAGGGAGTGGTCTGGTGGTCAGCTGGAGTCAAAGATCAAGGCCTGGCAGGGGAAACAGCCTAAAAGTCCAGAGGAGGTTTGAAAGAAGGAAACAACCCTCTTTCTCTGCCAGACGTGGAAAGTTGGTGGGCTCAAGGAGGGTTAGAGTGACGTCCTCTCCCCACAACCTTCCTTCCACAGCCCTATGCCGGCGGGACCCCGGGGGGAACGGGAGTAACCTCCACGCTTCCCCCGCCGCCCCAAGGCCCAGGGCTGGCCCTGCTGGAGCCGAGGCGCCCGCCCCATGACTATATGCCCATCGCAGTGCTGACCACCATCTGCTGCTTCTGGCCTACGGGCATCATTGCCATCTTCAAGGCAGTGCAGGTGCGTGGGGGGGTGGGAGGGGGGAGGGAATGGAGGCGGAGTATGGAGAGGAGGGCTCACTAGGTCTTCCTTAATCCCATGGAGTGCTGGACGTTTTGGGGAGCACCTTAGAGGGAGACTGAGGCGTGCGGCCGAGGTAGCAGCTCTCTGATCTGCTCTCCCCCACCCTCCCCCGCAGGTGCGCACGGCCTTGGCCCGCGGAGACATGGTGTCAGCCGAGATCGCTTCACGAGAGGCCCGGAACTTCTCCTTCATCTCCCTGGCCGTGGGCATAGCAGCCATGGTGCTCTGTACCATCCTCACCGTAGTCATCATCATTGCTGCACAGCACCACGAGAACTATTGGGATCCGTAAGGACGCCTACGGCCCGGCCCGACTCTGCGCCCCTCGACCTCCCAAGCGCGTTTTGCCGTCAAGCCGCGGATCCAGCGGGCGCCCTGCACACCCGCTTCTGGGGCCACCGGACTTGGTTACATCCTAAACTAGGCCTCTACAGAAACTCTCGCCTTGCGGGCACGCTCCGAATCCAGTTCCTCAGGAACCCCGCCAAAACCCACACTAACAGGGACGCCGCTTCCTGGGATTCCGGCCAAATGCCGGGCCCCTCAGTCGCTCCAGGCCCCCAACCCCTCTAAATACAGCGCCCCCGGCCGAACTCCCTCGGTCACTGCTCCCCAGCCTGGAAACTTGTCCCTAAAGCCCCGCCTCCTGTATAGGCTCCGCCCCGGCTCTGATAAAGCCCCGCCTCCAGGTCGGCAGGCTCCGCCTTCTTTTCTTCCCTGCGGGGTGATTCAGTCCGGTGATTGGGTTTGTGGCGCCAGGCCTCGCCCCCTTACTGACAGACTCCTCCCCTTTGCCCGGCGCGAGAGCCGAGCCCCAGGGTAGCCACGCCCCCACGCTCACTCCCATTTTTGCGAGTACTGTTCCGTTTCTCCTCCACCTCATCCCCGCCTCTTTTCTTGCTAATCCCGGAACCTCTGTCTACTTTTGATTTTTTTGGAATGAGATTTGGGAGGTTACCGGTTTCAGAACCTTCACCCTGGGATGAAGATTACGTCCCCGTTCTCTGTAAATACTCCCTTCCTCCTATCCCAACTCCTGGGCGGTCGGGCAGAAGGGAACCTAGGGTACAAACCTTCCAGTGTCCGGAGGGAGCCGGTCCCTCCCCGTCCCCTCGGTAGTCCTCACCTTGTTCTGATCTGTGTGTGAGTGTGTGTGTGAATTTCTGAAAGACAATATTAAATAGATTAAGTGGATTTATCACATGCAACTCCAAAGACTGCAGCCTTGCAAAGACCCTGCTTTTTTGGTTTCCCCTTTCACCTCCCCTCATCTCCCCTTCTGGGGGCATGGGGAAAGTGCGGGAAGAAAACTGACAGAGACAAAAGTGAGAGGAGACAGATTCCCAGGACACCAGAGAGACAAACACAAATATGGGGGGAAGGGGCCTCCCTGGGAATCCTACTGGGGAAGACCTTGAGATCCATCCTTGGTAGGGATCTCTTTACCCAGCACACCTTTTCCACTCCTTACCAGACTGGGCTTAAGGCTTTGGAGAGGAGGGAAGATTTACAAGCAGACCCAGGGATCTATCCCCAGAACTCCAGGAAGTCAGGAGGAAAGAAGGCAGACCATTCTGAAAAAGTTGGCCAGGGGTAGGGTGGCATGGGGCAGGGAAAAATGCCATTTGCCCACAGCTGTTCCTGCTTGCAGGCTGAAGGGTGGCAGACAACTTGGATTAGCCCTACTTGGTGTGTTGTACCAGTGTAGGGAAGGCAAAGGGAGCAAAGAGCTGTGGGAGTCGGGCTGCTATAACAAAAATACCATCACTGGATGGCTTATAAAGAACAGAAATTTACTGCAAGTCTGAGATCAGGGTGCCAGCACAGTCAGTGCAGGCCCTCTTCTGGGTTGTAGACCTCTCACTCTATCCTCACTTGGCCGAAAGGGCTAGGGAGCTCTTTGGGGTCTCTTTTATAAGAGCACTAATCCCACTCGTGAGGGCTCTACTCTCATGACCTAAGTACCTCCCAAAGGCCTCACCTCCTAATACCATTGTATTGCACATTAGAATTTCAATATATGAATTGGGGGAGAGGGGAGGGCACACAAACATTCTGACCAAAGTTGAGTGCCAGGGAGGAAGTCCAGAGCCTCTCAAGTCTGCCTGGGGCTAGTTGCTCTCTGCTATCCTGAGATCAACCAGGAGACCTCTTGGGGAGGGGGAGGAGGCACAAGCGGTGGACTTGGTATCTTCAGTTGTACACCTGCAGGACAGGGTCCTATCTTGTATTCCATGCAGGATACTGCTGAGACATTGTCCGAGACAGCAGGTATGAACACTGAAGCTCATGAAGTTTGTAATCTAGAAGGAAAGCCATGCACTGTGATAGGAGACATGGGATGAGGATGGGATGGAGTATGGAGATCATGGGTTCTCCTTTGGATGTTTCAGGTTTCATGTGCCTTCCGTACCCAATTTCGTGAAAAAAGAAGTGACATCTGCAGCTTGCACTTCCTCGCTACCTACTCACTTTTCCCCTGTTGAACAGGGTGTATTGTTGTCAGAAATGTCTTTCTTTCATACCCACTGCTTCTTAACCCTTTGAAATACGCTTCCATTCCCAACTCTACCGAAATTGTTCTTTCAAACAGTACGCAATGACCAAAAGTTACCAGGAGCCAAAATCAATGGCATTTTCACAGTACACTGCCCCTCTGAACCCTCCCATGTGCCCTAAGTATCTATATCTGGATTTCTTTTCCCTTCTTTGAGAATTTCCCTTGAAAAAATCTCATCCACTCCAAACTCAGACGTCATTTGTAACCAGATGCTTCTTTGCTACAGACTGAATGTGTTTTCCCAAAATTCATCTGTTGAAGCCTAATCCCCAATGTGATGATGGGGCATTTGGGAGATGATTAGCTCTTAAAGGTACGCCCTCATGGATGGTATTAGTGCCCTTATAAAAGAGACTCCAGAGAGCTCTCTTGCTCCTTCCACCATGTGAGGACATAGCTAGAAGAAGGCTGTCTATGAACCAGAAGGAGCTCTCACCAGACACTGAATCTGCCAGCACCTTAATCTTGGAATTCCCAGCCTCCAGGACTGTGAGAAATTTATTTCTGTTGTTTATAAGACAGCCAGTTTATGGTATTCTGTTACAGCAGCCCAAGTTGACTAAGACATTCTGCAACCTATGTATTTATAGGCAGACATTCTTCTGGTGCTTGTGGAACACGGATGGTTGGACAATGCTGCTGGTTCTCTAAACTCAGCAGGTTCCAAACCAAACAGATGAAATGCTGCTGAAAACCTGCTTCCCTACCTTTGTAGACAGCACCATTCCCTGGGCACCCTTATCTGGAAAACGTGACGCCCCTTCCACCTCCTTCCTGCCTTTACTTTTGGTGAGCTGTTAAGCCCAGTCAATTCTGCCATCACAATGTCTTTTGAATCTGTAACTTTTTCCCAACTCTTGCTGGAAAAATGACCTCATCTAGGATTATTGCAACAGCTCCCCTTTCCTACCTCTCCCTACCTCAAGTCTCCCTTGACACTGCTGTCAGGTTATTCTCCCTAAACACACTTCTCACAACCCCTTAACACACCTCTCAAAAGCCCTTCAAGATTCCCTATTGTTTACTCACCCGGTTACACAATTTTAATCTGGCCTTCAACCTCTTCCATAATTTGAAATCATCCAGCTTCCTCTGGAACCAAACTGTATTATTCACCATTCCCACTTCAGGTCTTTACCCAGCTGTTCTTCAAATCTAAGACCTCTTACTCCAATCTCTGCCTGTTACAAACCAAATTGTTTGCTGCTTGTCATGTGTTTCAGACCACATCTAAGCTTTTGCTCACGATATTCTCCTTCCCTTCACATCTGCTTCTTCACTTGGCTAAAATGTACCTATCCTTCAAGGCTCAGATCAATTGACCCCTTCACTCCAGCAAGAGGGAATCTCTCTCTATTACGGGTTGGACTAAAGCAGTGGGCTTCTAAACATAGCTCCAGGCATTCCTTGGAGCCATGATTTTTACCCCTGGCTGTACATTATAGTCATCTGGGGAGCATTAAAAATCCCAAACCCCAGGTCGCATCCTAAACCAATTAAATCACAATCTCTTGGGACTCAGGCGTCAATATTTTTAAAGACATCCCCAGGTGATTCCAAAGGTCGGGATCCCAGCCAAGGTTGGGAATCACAAGCTTAGAGGCACTTTGGGGACCACCGCAGAGAGGAGAGGCCGAAAGGTGTGGCTTCAACTAGAGCAAATTTCTTTAGGAGAAAGTATCTGGGTCTAAAACATACCCATTGTTCACTTTATCTGGATTTTTTCCAAGGCAAGGTGAGGACATCAAGATCTCAGCCGGAAGAGATGGGATTTTTTCCCATCTCTTCCGGCTGAGATCTTGATGTCCTCACCTTACCTTGTCAGCTACTTGAAGGCAGGAGCCAAATCTGGCTTATCTCTGGTTTTCAGACCCTCACAGATAAAACCTCTTCTATCAATCTTTTAACTCAATTGAATGGAAAGGAATTAAGCAGAGAAAGAAGTGAATGAAAATGACTTCTCCAAGATCTCATCACCTCACCCAGATTCCTCCCTCGGAGGCGTATTCCAATTCATTTCTCCTCCTACCTTACCTCAACTCCCTCCAAGAGCAAGGATGCCCGTGGCTCTTGTCCTCCTATCAACAGAGATTCTATCCTCCAGGAGGAGAGTCTTTGGACCCTCTAACAGCTATTGGGAGCTCTGATTCCCCCATGATTCGATTCTGGATCATCACTCTCCTGTTGAACCCTCACTGAAGATTCAGTATCTAGCTTACTGCCTTTCTCTCTACCATTCCTCTCTACCATCTACCTCTGCCATTTCATTATTTTTGGTGGCTTCAATATCTATGCAGATAACCATACAGCACCCTCGTCAGTTCCTTCCCTTCCTCGACTCCAATGATGTTTCCCCCCTCCCCAGCCACTGTCTCCCTGTGTCACATCTTTGACTTGGTTACCACAAATAATTGCCTCCCCTCCAAAATCTCTTCAGTCTTTTCATGTCACCCCTCCTCCTTCACTCAGTATCCCTGTTCCAAAAATTCTTCAACCCCACCTGGACCTCCCATTCATTGACTCTCTCACTCTCCTTTGCCGCTAGATACCCTCATTTTTTACTTACCTCAATACCTACTGCAGATCCCAAGGTTCAACACTGTAATTGCCTCTCAGGCCTTGCACTGTTTTCTTGGTCCCTCTCCCTTCAACACATTTTATCCCTGGTTAAATCCAACTCTGCCTGCACCACACCTGCACCCAAGAGCTGAATGTGTCTGGGGAAAAAACACACAGTCATACCGACTGGTCTCGCTTCCTTTCCGCCTTCAGTGTGGCCTGCAAGCCTGCATTTTCCCACATTCCCCAAATCTGAGACCACAATTTCATAAGATGACAACCTTTCTTCCTATCTCAGTTAGAAAATAGAAACTCTCCGAAAAGAACTTCCTCATGGTCCCACCCCCAAATCTACCAGGCCACCTGCATCTCTATTGAATTCAATGCCTTCCCCTTGTTACTGCAGAGAAGCTGACCTGCTCACTGCCCCCATCCCACCTGTGCGCTGG